AAATAAGAAATTTTAAAATTAAATATTTTACTTTCTATACAATCTTACATTATTAAATGATTTGAAAATCATTTTCACAATGACTTCATAGCTGTTATTTATTGTTTTAAAAAATCTGTAATTTAATTAAATGATAGAAAAGAAATTAAAAAAATGGGACATCACACTTTTTGGAATCGGAGCTTCGATTCAACCTACTTGTTCGTACGAAACCCGCAAGCGTATGAGATTGTTGACAAATAATACGTGATGAATAATGTATATCATCCCACGAGGAATAATATTCAATCAAACTAACTTAACATATAACTTATCCATAATTTATTGCCCAACTCTATGTACCGATATATACATAATCGTTAGCATATTATCTGACCCACGCAAGCATACAAAAATACATAAAAGAAAAAACAAAACTGAAAAACTAGAATTTTTTTCGAATTATGTATATATATATCACACAAGCATGCAAAAATATGTTTTGTGTTCTAAGCTACTTTTAGATACTCCCAAACTTGATCCAAACATTGTTCTCATTGTCTAGAAATAGTCCAAGCAATCAAAAAGTTAAGGGTAGATAAGCGATCAGATATTCCCCTGGTATCAACTTGTAGGTGGTGGATAAAATGGCATAAAAGCTTCATATCCAGACGGGTCTGCAATGGATGGTACCAGATGAGTGGATTGAGAGTAAAGGTCTCACATCATAATACATATTTGATCAACTTGTCTATATGTGTCCTCATATCTGCTGTACATGCATCATCTCTGGTATTCATGTCCTCCAGTCTGCTATGTATAGCCTCATTTATGATATGCATGTCTTCAACCCATCCTGTGTATATGTCGAATTGTCTCCCCATCAGGTCATACTCTCTACAAAAGGTCAATAGCTCAGTCGAGAGCCTACTAATATCTCGCTCCATATCCTGCAACCTGACATTCCTAGCATGCTCCATGTCATCTCTCGCTTGCTCTCTGGCTTGTGAAGATAAGTCTTTGACCACAACCTGTCGTTCGGGCCATACATTCCATCTAGATGCAACATTTTCAAATCTAACTTTGTGCTCAAGGGTTTCTAAACTGCCGCATACCCCCTTCATCAAAACGTGTGCAAGATGTGCCGAATGATCCCGTAACCTTTTCTTTGCTTTTTGATGTAGACGCATTATTCTTTCTCTTGGTAGCATACCTATCAAACAGTATTGGTCACTTGTATACGATGTACCAATCCTAAAAAATCAATGTGAACTTCAATTGATAAGAAAAACGGGGGTCGTAAGTAGGGGACGCAAACAGGGCCGCAGGCAAGAACACATGAAGATGTAGGCTGAATTTTTCGTCCTTCTCAATTTTCATTCAATTCATGCAATTTGAAGAGTGCAACTACATGAGAGTGTCAATGTGTGTATTTTCTAAGTGCGATGCAAAAATCATGCCAAAATTCAAATAAAATGGCTATTGGGATAATTTATCAAACATGTAATGGGCAAAAATTATGAAGTGGGTGTAATATCTCAATCTAATAATGTTTTATCCACAAATTTCACAACAAATTCACAAATCCATCATCCACCTATGCCCAAACTCGAACATGACTCAATAAACTCCAACAATTGACAAAAATCTGAGAAAAATGAGCAAAAATTCGAAATCTTCAAAGTTTAGCCATCTTACCTTTGATTTCTTGAAGTTTTGAAAACTGATTCGTACTAAATAATGAGCTAATGAATCCCCTTGTTTTTGCCATTGAACCTCCCAATCAAGTTCTTCGTAACACTCATAATGATCAACTTTACGAAGGTCTCATTGATGATTGATGTTAGAATGTGTTGAATCTTCTAAGCCCAAGTGAATTTTGGAAGAAATTGAGTGATAAATTTCGATAATTTGAGAAGAGAATGAGAGATGCTGGTTTAGATGGTTTTTTTTGTGTGCATGAATGTGGATCGAGATGGGTTATAAAAGCCCACCCCGCGATCGCGCACAGCTATTTGAGTCGCGAGCGTGTGGCTAGGGTAGTTTAGCCCCTGTTATTTTTATGGCGCGCGAGGCCACAAGCTTTTGCTCACGCATAGGCTTCATTTTTTTTTTCTTTTTTAACTCACTAGACTACTCTTTTACTCTTATGACTGCCCTTCTATTATGAATTGCGTGCTTAACGTGTCCAATGGATCCAAACCTGATGGGAAAGCATAAAAATAGTTTTTTTTTTTTTATCTCAAATACACCAAAATCACCTATTTCCTCTATTGAACCCCCAAACTTAATTCAAACAATACGTGAATTTATATGAACTGCACACACAATCAACTATCTTATTGTATGGATGAAAATGCCTAAACTAATGTAAACACATAAAAACATGAAAAATCCTAAACTAATACATAAAAACTGAATAAATAAAAGAGAAGAATATTGAGGTGCATCCCAACAAGCGCTTGTTTATAGTCTTCAACTCGACTTTGTTGTTTAACCTATTTTGGATCCTCAAGTGACAGAATTGTCTTCTAATTAGAGTAATCACCTCCCCAATAAGCTTTCAACTTTTGCCCATTGATCTTAAACCTCCGTTGATGATCTTGAGATACAACCTCAACTGTGCCATATGAATGGACAACTACAACAGTGAATGGACCCAAACACCTCAATCTTAGGTTGCCTGCGAAGAGCCTGAGGCGAGAACTGAACATTAGAACCTATTGACCAACCTCGAACTCTTTTTCTGTAATGTGCCTATCATACCATTTCTTTTGTTTTTTCCCTATATAACTTTGTATTCTCATAAGCACCCAACCTAAACTCGTCAAGCTCGTTCCAGAATGCTTTGAACGTCAATCATTTCATTTTTTTCTTCACTTCAAAATTGGAACTTAGCTTGCGAAATGTTAAAGCTAGCGATCTGCCACATTCCGTCATTGGCTTTCTTCTAGAAGGAAGGTAACTTCATTAGGTAACCCTTGGAGGGATTTTCACTTATCGATATTCTATCTAAAAAAATTAATTGCTGTAAATTATGAGACAGTAACAAACTTGAGCATTTCGATTCCCATAAGTAAAGACCGAATTCCAACCTTTATATTGTAAGATGATTGATGATTGAACGTGCAAAATATGTCATGATCTTCAAAATTGCAAGATGAAAGAGGTTGCACATTGGTAGAAATGTTCGTTTTGTGAAGAGAAGAATAGGGGTATTCTTTAAAAATGGAAGATTTTCAGGCGAGTTGAAGAAGATGGCTTCTCAAAGAAGCTAAGTTACATATGAACTCTGAAATACGTGGTATCTGCTGCTCATAGTACATGGACTACACAATAGTTTGTCAACGTTCATGATGGATGACATCTCGACCACACATTAATATGGGCATTACTTCAAAAGAACACAATATACTTTTTGCCATACTATTGTAGATACCTTTAGCTACAATTATAAAAAGTATGCATTTTTTTTATATTCAACGAAGTTAAAGGATATTTATTAGTAGATCAGAAATATGAACTATTAGGGGAAGAACCTGAGTGAGGATTTATCAAATCCAGTAAAATATTCTAGAATAATACTATTTGTACATTATCATTTATAAATTCTTTTACAAATTGATGAGGTGACAAAAAGAAAGTAGGGGGAGTTTTATATTTCGATTGTGCTATATGTACATAATTGATTTATATATACATGATAGGATAAGATGATGACTAAATCATATATTGTCATGTCATCTTTTTTAAACAAAACTGTAATTTATGATGTTGATGTCGGTTGTATTCTAAACCCATTAATCCCTTGTTTCTATGTTATCTTCAAAATTCTCTCAAATATGCAAATATTAAACCGAATTATTGAATGTAGCTAGTTTCCATTTAGTTTAGATAATTTTATCAATGTATTATATTTCGATTGTAATGCTTAGTATTTAATCATGTATTAAAATTATTAATTTTCGTATTTTCTCTAGAGTTTGGTTATTATTCAGATCCTATTTACTGATTTAAATACGACTTGTAAGTCTAATGACTCCATTTTTTCAATTTATATATAATGAGAGAGAGAGTTTTTTTTTTTTGAGAAGTTGTGGTTGAAAAATAAGGAAAATGTTTTTGTTTATGTGCAATATTATTTTATTGAAGAACATGTGGTTAAAAAGAAGAAAAAAATTTATTATAAATTAGTGGGAGCCAAACGGGAGCAAAGTTGTTTATGAATTGAAATTATGGACTCTGGAGTTTTACAATGTCTTAAATTCTCAATATTTAATAATTAAAAATCAATTAGTCTAAATTCTCTATATTCGTGAGTGAATCAAAGAGTTTTTGATTCCTAGATTTCTGCTATTCTTAGAAATCAACAAAAACTAGAAGTAAATCGTATTGCAATACTTCTTTGGAATTTACGGAACTTCAATACCGTGTTCTTTTTATCATTTCTATCGCTTTCACCATCCTACATTAGCTGCTATCAGAGCATGGTTCATTCATGATAAAGATGAGTTTATGTACGTGAAATTTAACAGCAGATGTTTTATTTTTGGACAAAAATCTTTATTTTTTCCTTTCTATAATTCAAAGATGGACGAATCTTTGTGTTTCAATTACGACGATCCTCCAATCTTCGACAAAAAAAGTTGAAGAATTTGTGGATTTGGGTAATGAGAGTTACTATGAACCTTTGATTTTCGATGAAGAGATTGAAGAATTTTTCAATTTTGATAATGACAAATCCAATAATGTTCCAGTTTAATGTATCGAGTAACATGCCGAAATCTTTGAAGAATTGTCTAAGAAATTCAAGAAAGAAAAATTCAATAGTAGTGCATGCAATGCAATATGATATTAAGAACTTACCATAGAGCTGATTTTATTTAAATTGAAATTGCAAGATTATATGCTAATTTGTCTCCAAACCTTTGACTTGCTAACGGGTATGTAATCATATACTTTATATTTGTAAAACAGTATAAAACGACAATAAACTTTAGAATCAACAACACAGTGTCCACTCAATTACTGATTGCTCCATTCCTTCGTTCCTCTTCATCGATGGTATCGCAAAATGCCCTTCCCCTTGTTTCTGGTAAGAATGCAACGAACAATCCACACACAGCTATTGTTATCCCGAATATCCCATATGAAAGCAGCCCATTCTTTCTGCCGGTTGCAGCTATGACTGGTCCAAAAAGCCCACCAAACAGCGCTGCCTGCCTCAACATTGACATAGCCGAGTTCCTCACGCATGTCGGAAACAACTCCAATGTATAAATTAGCACCACATTGAATGCAGTAACAGCGCTGAAAAATGATACCAGTTCTAGTCCGATCTGCAACCCTTTCCACCTAACCAACACACACGTTACACTACAAATTCCACTCAACAGAGCGAATCCAATCACTGAAAATTTCCTGTTCAGTCTCCCAATAAGAAAGAATATAAGCAAGGATGCTGGAAATTCTATAAATGCATTTAGTGCCACACTCCAGTATAGGTCAAATGTCAAGTTGCCAAGGCCTAATGGCATTCCATAATAAATCATGCCAGCTCCGAAGCCAACCAACATAACCGACGCAAGACGCCGAAGAGCCCAAGATTTTTGCAACAAGATCTTTATCGTAGAGTAAAAGTTTGTTACTTGCAATTCATCTTCCCACTTAACGCACCTATCGAAGAAGCTGTCGGTTAAGTTTCTCAGAATCGCGGGTGCAGCAATGCTTCTCAGTGTTTTGGCGAATTCTTCTTTCCGGCCTTTGATATAAAGCCATCGGGGAGATTCGCAAACTAGAAAATACAATAATACAGAATAAACAATTGAAGGAATGCAAGTCCACAGGTAGAGGAGTCTCCATGAGGAACCTCTGTTCAGAAAGGCAATACCAGGTAAAGATAGAAAACCTAGAGTAAAACAGATGATTCCGATGACCCCAACTTTTCCTCTCCATTTTTTCCCAACAAGTTCTGTTGACAAAACAAGTGCACAGGTGACAATTGTTGACCTACCAAACCCACTAATAAATCTCAAAGTGGTATACATCCATAAGTTGGTGGAGAATGTGGTTAAGACTCCAGGTAGAGACATGAGCAGGCAAGATAGAACAAGCATGTTCTTCCGGCCCAAAGCGGAGTCCGCCAAAGTTGCAAGGACAAATCCACCGATGAGGCAGCCCAGAAAGAAGGACGAAGTCAGGAGGCCAGTGATGATGGAGCCGGAACACTCAAGGGACCACTCGGAGATGATGGACGTGTGAGCGGGCAAATCCCAGTTCCAAGAATCTCTTGGAATTTGGCAGATATTCTTGCACGACGAATTGCTGGGTGAAGTGCAGTGCCATGTCGGCTCAGCATCCGTAAAAACACTGACGAAGCTTTGTTGTGCATCGAAGAAACAGGCAAAGGATGCAATAGTGGCTTGGAATAATTGTCTCCACCTGCAATCCCCGATGCAATGTTCAATCATGTCATCTAGGGATAGCTGTTGTTCCACGATTCGTGGAGATTCAGATTCTGTAGGGTCTCTTTGTAGGAGTGATGGATTTGGATCTGCCATTTTTGGTAACTTCTGTGTGTCTTAGACCAAAATTAGTGTCAGTCTTCATATATTGGTGCACATTTGGTTTTGTAGCAAATATATGATGTCGATCCAAAATAAGTATGCATGGTTAGGGAGTGGATCATGTTCATATCGATTCGAGCACTTCTCTTTGTGTAAGTTTAACTGCTTTCGTTTTGAATTTTACATCCCGAATTTTAAGTCAGAAACGTGAAACCATGTTCTTGGGTTATGATTTTCATATGGGTGTTTGATTGCATGCTCATTGGTAAAAGGTATTCAACTCCTTCAGCCAAAAAATTCTTATTACAATTTAAATCAAAACCAATAATTAATTTTTAAGCATACATTCCATCAACATTTATCAAAAATTCACTAAAAATATTATTTTTATCTAAACAAAATAGGGGATCAATATAATTTGCTAATATAAAAAGGAGATCACATTTTTAATTGATTTCTTATATAATTTCTTGTGTGTTTGAACTTTGTCATTCCAATTTCAACCTTTTTTTGGGTCCATGTTTTTATTTTTACAAGTTTTATTATACAATTTTTTTCCCCCAAAATTATCTTAGTTAATACCAAATCATGAAATAAAAAATCCTCCTTTAGTTGACAAGTCAACTAGAACAATTGTTTTTTTTTCTTTTCCTTTGGAGAGAGAGAATAATACATCTATGGTGTGTTGATTTGAACATTATCAATTATCATATAATATTACCTTAAAATATAGGGTCGCTTGAAGTGTTGCTCAGATGACCGGAAATATATCTGTGGTTCTTGAATAACCTGAAAATAGAGCAGGGAACTGAAACTCTACTTCATTTTTTCTCCGATGAATGAATCTAATAACCTTAGGTTCATCGCCTTTATATAAGTGTCAGACTGGATGATGATGCGAAACAATATTCGTACATGTGTCATGCTCCTAGATGTCGGATACAGGGTTAGGATTGACCTAATAAATAATGCATTGTTGTCCAATTGAAACCTTAACATGTGTGGCACTGATATTAAATAATAAGTTCAACTAAACGCAGTGCCATGAAACCACATTTAATTAAATCTACCAATTGTGTCAAACCTAGATGTTTGATCTAGGGTGACGTCTAGAAGATATAATGGAGACCAAACTGTTATAAGTTCAATAGATTGGGAACCATTCATGCAATTTTTCATTTATGCATGATAACATTGGAGTGATGACTTGGGATGCAATTTCCAGATAATGTAAACAAGAAATGGATATTTCATTGAGCAACAACGTACAAAGTGAAATTACAAACACTCATGCATGCATTAGTTATGAAATTGAGTCTTCTCTTATAAAGCTGACCGAGTTGTGATGTCACTTCTAGTATATGAATATTTTCATTGATTCTAGAATTGATATTTGTTCATATGAATATTCTCACCGATTTGAGAATTGATATTTATTCTTACATTTATAAATATTGGTTACTCTTGCATATTTTGTCTGCCTTATATACCATATAGAATGCCTTACATTTACAAATATTGGTTACTCGGCCTAGCTCAATGATTTTTCTGCCTCACTCTAGTTAGGTAATTTCTTTATTACCCGCTATTGTAGGGTAGGTTTATCATTTATGCCCTACCAAGTTTACTTTTTTGGCTACTTGGGTAGTGTAAGTTTTT